AACTTCATTCCAAAACCACGTGTTTCGTATTCCTCAAGGTCAAACTTCCAGATATGACCGACTGGAAGATATCATGAGAGTATCCCATACACGAGCTATGCGTCCACGTTTCGCAGCGTTCGCACATCAGCCAGTTCTCCCCACCTGACTTTGAACACATGGTGCAACACTCTTGACTTTTAGAGGTCAATCTTGACCTCGTCGTAGCATCAGACATTTAATATGAAAGGCTATTAAATAAGTTGATGTGACATAATTAGGGGACGGTTGTATTCTGGATTAATTAGATCCTCCCTTTCACTGTAACTTCGATAATAACGCCGTTAATGTTGTTTCGGCGTGCGTCGGAAGGTTCGACTGTGCCCCACAATTTCACACCGATTCATATGGCTTACAGTTTCACTTCCAGGAATTTGATGTCTTTCGATGAGTACCCCATGCAGTGGCTGTAGTAGTAGTAGTAGTAGTAGTAGTAGTAGGGTAGGCTTTAGGATTTCTCCATGGGTTTTGAACCCTTGTTTATAAGTTCGTAATTTTTCCCGGTGGGTTGCAGTTTCCTGACCAGCAAAGAATTCTCCGCATACACAAGTTGTTTTCTGCAAAATTACGTGTGTCCACTTGCCGCAGGTCTCTCACATCAGCCAGTTCTCCCCTGTATACTGTGCACAGATTGTGCACGCTTCATGTTGCTGTTTTGAAGCCAAACTGGTCCTCGTTTTTGGAGGCATATTTTATCTATTTAATAAGTTTTTTTACAACAATTAGGCTATGTGATAAACTTACGTGCCCTGAATTTTCTGACAAAAATAGAATGTGTAACAACAGACTGACTATCAGAAAATTCAGAATATTACTTTTGATTGGTCGAATTTTTTAAATTGTATCATTTAGACATTTTTGCAATTTTTTCGATCTTGGATCAATTTTGTATATATCGTGAAAACTTTTATGCTGATGATGCTAGTTATATCAAAATTGTTCGCATTAACCTTTTAAAATTTTTATCATTCAGATTCTTGCACTCAGTCTTGACTTCATCAATTTCTTTAGTTACCGAGACCACTTCTTTCGATACAGGAAGACACAGTAGTGTTTGGAAACTTTGGTATTACTTGGAACTCTTATCATGATGTTGCAGATTAACATTTTGCGTGGTTCCTGTTTTAGCAACGATCGTATTGAATCCAGGCGTCTCCAGAGGGAGAGAAGAGAACCATCCCGCCGGCTCCCCTGGATTATCATTATCGCGAACTCGTTGTTGTTAGATTTATTATATCAATTAGGAGGCGGTTTATCACAACGTTTGCAAGTTTTTCTTTTTGTTTTCATCCACTTGGGGTATTTGAAGCATATTTCAAGTGGTGTGGCGAGACCACACTTCTGAACGAGCTTTTTGATTGAGTTCATCAAAAGCGACTGGGCCATGATTCTAATAGAGTACCGAATGATACCGTAGTGGAATCCAAAATAATCCAATATCTACGTTTAGAAGTGCAAGCCTGAGCTGCCCTCCTTTTTCTTAAGTTGCTTTTGTTTTTTTAATCTGCTATAGCTATCAGCTTAGATATATCAGCATGGATCGACTATCAGATTCGTTAAGAAGTGCAAGCCTGAGCTGCCCTCCTTTTTCTTAAGTTGCTTTTGTTTTTTTAATCTGCTATAGCTATCAGCTTAGATATATCAGCATGGATCGACTATCAGATTCTTCCGTCCAGAACAGTCTTCGGTTACTTTTTTTGTCTCGGTTTTGTATCTTTGGTTTGTCAACATTTCAGTTTTTGCAATCGATTAGACAGAGTTTCGCTCAGATTTCGGTCTGTTAGTTATTTATGCTGACCTGACCCGCCGTTGAAAAGTACAACGTAGAAATTAGTGCTATGCTGATTAAATGAGGGTAACAAAGCATGTTTAGCAAATGCAATTGGAAAAAAGATTGGGTTCAATCATGACGAATTAGAACATCCGAAGAGTATAATCGCTTAAGTGTACAATAACTATTTTATGAGTAAGTTTAATCTCGAAGACATTTGTTCATGGAGATTGACATGTCTATGTCAAAACTGCAGAAATCAACAGAAACTCAAATGAACTTTGGAAAAACTGAATTCGGAAACAACAACTCCCTTGGGTGGTACCCTAAAATCTTTTTTATTTTTAGTATTAGTAGTAGTGGTATGAATTTTAGGATGTTGTTTTCCTGAAATTGTCACGAGTTTGGGACCTCAATAAAATTAACGCCATTTACTCTGACCGATTGTTGTCTTGACGAGATAAACGATAGGAATAATTCGATTGTTTTTGTTCTTCACATTTGAAGTTTTGAAAACACTATCAATAACGCGCTTCTCATCTTTACTGTTGTATGCAATATATAAAAACACCGATTTATCAAATTAAATTGAAATAAAATTTTACGAAAGATTGTTTGAATGTAGCAAAAGGGAAAAAAGTTGTAACGTGGTGCTACACGCCTACGTAAGGTTTTTATTGTCAGTTACCTTAATGGAATGAATCAGATGTTAAATAGATTATACTTCAATGCCAAATTAGATGAATGACAAAGTGTTAAATTATATTTGTTTAATGTAAACAATAGAGTTGAGAAAATCAGTTGAACTGAGTGAGACATATATTGCTAATGAGGAACATGCCGAAGCTCGGCGGATGAGGAGACCAACATTTAAAGAGCTCATGAAAAATCCACCTGTTGCCCATGTATTAAGATACGGTATAAAAAATGTTTTGGGACTCCCCCTGCCTGGAGTTCGAAGTTCGAAAATTGTACCACCAAGGTCTTTCATATCACTAATGCGGAACGTGCAGAATCTCAGCGGAGAAAGAGATCAAAACGTTACGAAATCTCGAAAAATCCACCTGTTCCCCATGTATTAAGATGGGGCATCAAAAAATTTTGGGCTTCCTGCCTGCATGAAGGACGTACTACCTAGTAATTTAACATCACTAACGAGGAACGTGCGAAAGCTCGGCGGAGGAGAACAAAACTTTAAAAGATCTCGGAAAATCCACCTGTTGTCCATGTTTTAAGAGTGGGTATAAAAAAGTTTTGTGCCTTCCGCCTGCATGAAGGTTGAAACTCAATTTTTTATCACCAATCAATTCCATGTCAGTAGGAACGTGCAGAAGCCCGGCGAAGGGGACACCAGCACCGGGTGAGATTTCACCTATCGTCATATAGACAGTCGAAAAACAAACAAGGGGAATACTTCTAAGCGACATCCACTCCACTCATATTATGATGCGAATTTGCTTCACGTCGTCACTACAACCGAGGAAGGATTGTTGCTGAATATGGCAATACCTTACGCATGGAGTCACATGGCCTTCGGAATCTACCGGGCACAGGTTATTCCTATGCTGCAACATGGTTCAATCGAAGCTATAAGATGGGTCACTGATGGACCCTATTTAGCCATTTCGGAGGTCTCAATGGAAACATCAGTCCTAAGTGAAGACCAGTATGCCCACTGCCTAGGAACATTGAAGTATCAGATATGTCATCATACAATGAAAACCACCCTTGCTACTCTTTATTTCCATTCGTCAATGACTGTATGCTAAACCGAGAAGATGCTCCTTCAGATGCCGTAGAAAGCGACCAAGAAGCTTGGTAATGACCTTAGTGCTGCTTTCGCTACGGGAGTACAGTCGCGAAGAACTGAACACCCGTAAACGAGAAGACCACGCTGGTTGTAATATTTGCTTGATTACATCAGACTGTGGGACACAGTTAATAAGCAAATATATAAAACGATGTATATAAGTTATTTAATTGAATGTACTTTGAATTGGATAGTATGGGTGATCTCACCAAAAAAGCTGTTTAAAATTTTTAGTCTAACAATGCAGTGAATTATTTAAGAGCGTATTTAAATTTTGATTTTTTTCTTATAATTAGCCACCAGGAAAGATTCGACAAGCGTGTTCGTGTAACGTAGTGCTTTACACTTTCGTTAGGTTCTCATTGTCAGTTACCTTAATGGGAATGAATTAGATGTCAAATAGATTATACTTCAATGCCAAATTAGATGAATGACAAAGTGTTAAATTATATTTGTTTAATGTAAACAATAGAGCTGAGAAAGAAGGCAACATCTCAAAGCGCATCCCTGAGTTGAAGATTGAAGCCTAGACCGCACATCCACAGTACATAACTCCACTCATATTCCTGAAATTCAGTATTTTCTAATACCCATTTCTAATACCCATTAATAACCATTAATCGATAATAGCCAGTAATGGTATATTACAAAAGTAAAGCTATTCTTTTTATCCGTGTGTCCGTAGTAGAATGTACGTATTAAAAAGTACTAGTGTCAAGGCTGAGCGGAAGTGCATTTGCAAGCATGTTTTTGAGGAAGGTTTTTGAGTGTCTGGTAGAAATTTGGTGGCTGCTCTAAAATAAGACCTGTCAAAAAGCAGACCCTACAAATCTGAAGGTTTTATTACGAAGTCAAAATATAAACTATGTAACTAAATTTAAATCTCGAAGGGGCACAAAGCTGTACTTTAACTTGAGTTGCGATCAGTGGGTTCTTTTTGTTTAGTTTTTGCTGGCAGTTTTGTTAGACGTACCTTCACTTAATATGCAGACATAGCGCTGTCCTCGATACGAACTCCATAAATACTCGTTAAGTAACCTCCTTAAATTCAATTAATCACTCAAGATTTTTTGTCTCCACCCAACGCTTGTTTTTACTGTACAAAAGGCGTCTTGAGGTTTCGAGTGGTGCCAATTTCTGCTGTTTTAGCTTTGAACTTTTTTGTTTTAAATTGGAGTTTTGTCATTTCATTGATCAGCACATTTTTCTCAGATTAATTGGACAACTTTTCCATGTGCCGGATAGAATATTTGCATAATTGAGGGAAGTGGAATTCAGAATTAAGCTAAATTTTTCTGGCTACTGAAGACGGTCGCCGTACAGTAATAGACGATTTTCCTTTTTCTCTTTTCATTTCTTCCCGCGATTTAATTTAAAATTTGTACCAATAGAAAACGAGCATAGCCGCCTTTCCAACCTTTGTTGATCATTTTGTAGTATTTATTCCTATCCAGAAATTTTCATTCCGATGGTATCCCCTTCCCTCTTATAAAATTAAGCCCTGAATAAAACTCAGCTCGGACGGTCGAGCCTTACTTGTTCATTGGTTTTAATTAGTGTGATTTTGCAATTAGAGAGTGCGCGTCATCATTAAATTAACTGTTGACTGCAATTTGGGTAAATCGTAGTTAGTGACAGCTAATTAGATGTTCACGTTAAAAGACTTGGGTAGAAGTTGTCAGTTAATTTTCTATACGTTATCTCGGTTAAAATTTTACTTTTTTTCTCCGATTTCCTGCTTTCTGCTTTTTTGATGAAGTAAACTGCTATTGTCATAATTTTAGTTTGTTCCACAAGAGAAACTAGTTATTTTTTATAAATTACTCAATTTGATTTTTCCTTATTGATTTACAATGAGTCAATATAACACCTCTAACATCTCTGTAAATTCGAACAATTCAGAATTCGAATACGAGAATGAACGTTCAGATGACGAGTTCGTGTTCTTGTACATCATCTTCTGGACAAGATTGTTTCTCAGGTACTGATATTGGAAATTGGCTAACCAGCTGAATATATGATTTTATATTTCTGTTATACGACTCTTATAACAGACATTTAAAATCATATATTCAAATTTTGGACCCTTCTCTAACATTTCGCTTTATGATATATAAGGAACGGAACTAGGATATCGTGAGGGAGAGCAGAAACTTTCGAGGGAGGAAAAAAACGTTTAGGTCCTTTTTAGAAGACTTGGACCGAAAAACAGGATGTTTAGGTCGCGCTATCCTTAAATTTAGAGTTTATAAGGGTTAAGAATTTGCGTTCAGAATAGGGTTTTATTATGATTTTTATTGCCCTTGCGATAAGCAAGGGTGTTCAAAACGGGTAGTAGACTTTTTCCCGTAAACAACTTTCCTGCGTCAAAATGTTACACGTGGTTCAACTTGCTTAATAATAATTTCAAATTTGCTATATGGCGCATCTGGCATAGAGCTAACACATATGTATTTAAGACGACAAAGACTGCCGTCTTAAGACGACAAATCCTCCCGGTACCTGTTGTTTGTAAATCAGAAAATTTCTGCCTTTTTGGGCTGTTTTTTTTTTCGGCTCAGTTCCCGTTGCTCTGACTCTTTTTGAAGATTCAGCTTTTCCTCAATTTCGTGAATGCCACTTGTAGAAGTAGCTGCGTAAAAATTTGTTGCAGAAATTTGTTTTTTGCTTTTCAAGTTTGTTGCGCTGTCGATTAATGAGTACGGATTTATTACGCATGCGATTATTAAGCTCTCAATTGGCATTGTAGACTTGTTACCGCTTCGTCAGTTTTTTTCGATTCAGTTGTCTTATTTGGCATGTTGTTTCATAAAATAGTTTTCATTCCAGGCCATTTGATAAAATATGAAAATTTTGGTACATCTAGCTTTTCTCGACCTTATGGAATTTTCACAATTTTTTTTTTGACAGCGGCTCAATTTCTGTCTGCTAATTTGTTGTGCAATGTTTGCCTTGTATCGCTAGTGTTCTGCTTTTTGATTGTTGGTTTATTGTCCGATTTGAGTGTACAACTTTGAATTCACTACATTTGAAGCACTCGTGGACACTATGAGGACAGTACGTTTTGGTTGAATTTCTGCTTTTTGACTGTCGGCTTTAATTGAGTCCGCTTTTCTACCTAATATTTTGTTTCCTACAAAGTTCCATTGTAGGCTTGTTACCGGTCCATTAGTTTTGTTTGATGCATAATTAACGTTCAGTTGTCTAATTTTGTATGTGATTTCGAAAAATATTTTTCATTCCAGGCAATTTGATAAGATATGAAAATATCTCAGATGATCAATTTTTTAGTTTTCTCTTTTTTCCCTTCGTGCGGCTTAAAAGCTTTCGACTTGCCATGTTTTGGCAAAGCGTCTTGATTTAGAGTCGTTTTTTGAGACGAAACAATTTTTTTTTGAATTTTTTGAGGCGGGACTTAAAACTATTTCGAGTTAGTTTTTTTTTGGCTCACGTGCGTCTGTTCAAGAATTGTCTGCCTTGTAACCGTCTCTTAAGTTTCGGCTCGAAAGCAAATTAATATTCAATTGTCTTACTTATTAAACTGAAAGGAAACTAATTCAGGACACAGTTCTGACAAATACGTTAAAATTGTTGGTAGATCAATTTTTCTACATCTTAAAAATTTTTGTTTTCAAATTTTCTGCGGTTTTCGTCTCTTATCTGTCGATTGATTTTTCATGCTGTATTTGTTTTTTTTTATCGCAAGTATTGCTCTTTAAAATTGCAAGGTCGCTGAAGCAAGGGTTTTGTAATCGGTACTATACTTTTCTTTGTCTGAGAACTTGATCACAAGACCCATCTCCTATGAAAAATTGACTCTTAACAGACCTGTTCACGTCAAATGAAGTATTTTCACAAACTGAGCTTTTTAAATACCAGTTTTACTCGAAGTTTGCTTTTATCTTGGTTGCCAATTAACCAACTCAGATTTTGTATAATTTTATTGGTTCTTTTTACACTTGAAACGCTTTTTCTGCGTAGAAAGTTCGGCACATTTTATATTGCCTTAGTCGCCTCATATTACATTTGAAAAGCAAAAATTTTTTATCAGGCTTGTCGGTGGGTGACTGAAAAAATTTTTTATTGCTCAATTTTTTATGGCTTCATTTTTGCTGGCTCAACGACCGTCTTTCCACCATATATTGTTGGATTAGCTGCCACTTCGCATATTTTGTTTCAATGCTTATTTGACGCCAGCAATAGTCATTCTCGACTTTTTTTCCCTCAAAAGGATATGAACATTTCATTAGTTCTAATTTTTTTCCAACGAAATGTTCATGATTTTTGTCAAATTTTTTTGTCGACTAGTTTGCGATGTTGTGTTTGTGATGACTCGCAAATGTAACTACATAAAATGTAAAATGTCTTAAATAGTAACAAATGAAGGGGGCTTTGGGTGGTCAGGGGTCGAATACTTGGGGAGGGGAATACTTACATCTGTGATATATTGTTTTTCTTTTTCAGTTCGACTGGTGTGCTTTTAAACCTGCAGGTAGTTATAATCTACCACTCGAAGTCGCAGAAATCTCCGAGCGAGTACATAATTCTGAACTTGGGCTGTGCTGATCTTCTCTGTACCATCGGATCAACTATCTCGGCCATCTATCAGTTTATACAGAGCAAACACGAGTTCAGTGAACCAGTCGGGAATTTCGCCGACAGCTGTCAACGCTTCTCGTTTGTAGCCATCACAATTTATTCGTTCATTTGCGTGTTGGTTATCACTCTGAATAGATTCCTGGCTGTCTGCAGACCCCATGTGTTCAGAGATGTGTTCACACTTCCAAGGACATACACCATACTGGTGTTTTCCGCACTCTTTGCAGTTGTGTTGGGTAAGTTTCGATTACTTCAAAAATGGGTTGAAAATTGCCCACCACTTTTAATTTCATTCCTCTTCCATTTAATTAGAAATTGAAAATTTATTTTTTTCTTTAGATCAAAGCAGAGATAAATCAAATTTTTTTCTATCCGCAGAAGAAAATATTATGGCCTGACTTTTATAAAATTTCAATTTTCTTTCAGAATAGTTGAGTGAAAAAAACTGATATGAGTTTGCACTTAATTTGAGTTAACTTGCCCTCTAAACGTGCTTTTACCTCTATTTTAGGTCTTGAATTCAACTAATAAATCTATTCCACCTGGCTTAATCGGAAATAGCAAGTTTTCATTAACAGTCTAGTGGCTCCCTTAGGCAAAATTGCTGTAGATATTAGTTTAAAATGAATAGAGTTGTTTTAAATTAATTTTAGGATTAGCGTTAGAATGGTATCCAAAGCTGGCAGAGTCTCCATGTTTCCATGACAGGATGTAGTCATGTTTAGTAAGCGTAATCAGCAATGTGTGTCGGTGCTTTCAATTTCAAGGAAAAGCAGCGAGGTCTTCCTAAGTGGTTTTTAAAGCTAATTTGAAGCTTATGCTAGGGTTGCTTTTAAGTTATCAATTTTTTATCCCTCTTTGCCATAAAAGTGCCTTTTATAAAGTTCTTTTCTGTTATGCTAGCTGATCTCAATGTTTTTGAAGATTTCCTGGCTTGTTGCTGATCTGCAGTCTAAGTTGTATAAAGTATTCAATTGTAGTTCGGCTGCTGCAGCAATTTTGAATATTTTTTATTTTTATTGTTTTATGTCTTAGGAGCCATGCAGTTTTCGGTCACGTTCTTTGCCCGACTGAATGGCTACAAGCGGGGAGTGTTCACACTCAATGGCTACATTGGATTCCTGTTCACAGTATTGGACATAGCTGTGATGCTGGTGGTCTATGTGTGCATATTAGTGAAGAGTCACCAGTTCAATATCAGGACGGAAATCAGACGACGCGGTTCCTCCATGCTCACTGAAATGCAGCTAGGTGAGAACGTCATCTTACACCTTCATGCTGAAAATTCTGCCTCTTGTTTTTAGAATTGCGTTTTAGACTTCAGTCTCAACTTGCTTCGGAAATAACTTATATTTGGAGGTTTTCAAAACTAAATTCTTAAAACCCAGCAATTAACAGACGTTTACCGGTTGTGGCATACCGAAGCCCTGTTGTTTTAATTCAGATTATACGAAACTTGGAATTTTTCTGTGGAGAACTAGAAAGTTCCTGTTTGATAAAAACAGGTTGTGAAAAAATTATTAGGTTCTGGTTTTTTAGTTAATTTTTGTTGAGAGGCTTTTTAAATTTTTTTCACTTTTCTCAAAAAATTTAGTTTTCTCAAAAACTACTCAACCGATTTTCAAAAAAGTAATACCAATGAAAATTCCGGCCACATTCCAGGAGATTTTGAAATCAATGGTTAAACCAGCTTGTCGTATGCTCCCCTGCCTAAACGACTACTCCTAATTTTTTTTACACAATTTTTTTTTTACATGGATCTCGGAAATTTTTTGACCGTGTTTTGATACCTTTTGACTTTTCTCAAAAACTAACCTAACAAATCTGAAATTTTGAATTCAATCAATAGGACAGGCTCGGGGAAGGTCGCTTGTATATGCCGCTACGCCCAAAATTTTTATGCGAAAATTTTTGACCCTCGGAAACATCAAAATTTCGATTTTTTGACCGTTTTTTCAAAATTTTTGACGCTTCTCGAAAATCTCCTCTCAAAGCTGAGATTTTGATTTCATTGGAAAGGGAGGTTTGTGGGACGCTACTCGGCCTAAGTTAATGAGCCCAAATTTTTTTACACGAAAATAATGGCTCTCGGAAGAGTCACATTTTCGTTTTCGTTTTTGACAGTTTTTTGAAGCTTTTTGATTTGTTTTTTGATAAGTAACCCCCCAAATCTGAGATTTTGATTTTAATCAACAGGACCTGCGGTGGGAAGATCCCTTGCATAAGCCGAGACGCTCAAAATTGTGATTGTTTGACAGTTTTTAAACTTGGACTTTTCTCGCAAACTACCCTTCCAAATCCGATAATTTGGTTTCATCGGGTAGAACAGGTTGTGGGAAGCTTCTCTGCATGAGCGGCTACACCAATTATTGTTTTTCAAAAAAGTTATGGCCATCAAAAAGGTTAAATTTTTTGATTTTTTGAAACTTTTTGGCTTTTCTCGAAAATTAACCTCCCAAATCTTAGTGTTTGGTTTCATTCGTAAAGGCAAATTGTGACAAGCTCCATTGTTGTAGCAAATCGATCCAAAAAATGTACTCGTAAACTTATGATCTTAGAAAAAGTCATATTTAAGATTTTTTATCGTTTTTTCTCCCAAAAATTTTTACCGAAATTTTCGGCTTTTCTCGAAAACTGTCTTCCAAAATCTGAGATTTTTGGTTGAATCGAAAGAAAGGGTTGTCGGAAGCTCCTCTGCTTTAGCGGCTTCGCCAAAATTTTTTTTTGCCAAATCGCTGCGCTCCCGTAAAAGTTAAATAATGATATTTTGACCGCTTTTTGCAATGTTTTGACTTGCCTCGAAAATTGAATGGGATTTTGTTATACTGAGATGCAGTTCCCATTTCTGGCATCTCGCTTTCTGGAACTTCGCTAAGCTATCAGTAATAGCGGTATAAATTATAACTCAATTTTAGAACAACGACTCGAGGGATTAAGTGAATGGCTGAATAGGCGAATTGTGTAATTTAGTCAGTCAAAGAAGCGGAGTTTACGTAGAGTTTTTCTGCGTTTGGAGAAGTAATATAATACAACGGTATATTGACGCCTGGAGTATTAAGAAATTAAACAGACAGCTAAAAATCAGGTGATCTAATGTAGCTGCGGTGCTATAAACTAAATAGGTGTTTTTTAGTCTGGTGAAAATAAATAGTTAACTGGATTTACCAAACAGTCGAGAAATTCACCATAACATTTCCAGTCCAACTATTTTTATTAAATTTTTTTAAATAGTATGTCATTTTCATTAAATATATTTTTGGGTCTTTAAAACTCAAGGGACCCACTGTCACTGCTCGGGTAAAATTAGACCAGTTGATTCTGAAGAAAAAAGGATCTACTTAACAGTTACGCACCTTTCGAATGTTATGCGGTAATTGTTAAGTAAATTAAGTTAGTCGAGTTTTCGACCTATCAGAATGCAGCAAAATCCGAATTCTCAGTACAAAACTCTAGTGCTAATTACTGCTGTTATTTATAGGGGTGGCAGTTCTTTAGTATATACCATAGGGGGTGGATATTGTTTGGTAGATCCGAAAAAATAATATTTTGATTTTAGCTCAAATCTAGGATTTCTGCGTGTAATCTGATCTTCCAAGATGTTAATCGGGTAAAATTTGATTTTCATTCAAATGTAATGATGATGATCAATTTTAATCTGTCCGATAAAAAAAGAGTTTCTTCCTAATAAATTGATTCAAAATTCCTTAGTGCAAAAATAATATTGATCATGATTTATTCGATCTGCATATGATCATTGTGAAGATTTTTGTTTTTGTTACTTTTGTGTGGGGATTGTTGAGATGTTTCAAAGTTCGTGAAGTTTCCATAAGGTTGTTGGTTGTAAGTTTTTAGCCCTGGGCGGTCCCAGACTTGGTTCAACAAAGTGCGGAAGTTAATGTTGGGTTGAATTTTGCCCATTTGTTTAATGCGTCGTTTCTGGTGCTTAACAGGGCTCAGCCGTCTGAACAAAATCTCATTAATTGTGCAGAAAGGAAGGCCGAACAAAAAGGTGGGTTGAAATAAAGCTCCCTGGGTAGACAAAGCTCCTGTTGCAAGTAGCCGTAGTGGCATTAACGCAATGAGTTCACGGGTTCCTGTGAGACTTGTTAATTATGTATTTGAAATATTTCCGAAAGGTACGAAAATGTTGACATTTTTTGCATCAAAAATGTTGACATTTTTTAGAACAAAATGTTGACGTTCAAAGAACGAAAAAGTTGTTTTAGGAACGAAAATGTGTATGTAGGAACGAAATTTTGTTGACGTTTAAGGATCGAAAGTTGTTTTAGGAACGAAAATTTTTAAGAACGAAAATGTTGGCACTGTTAGGAACGAAAAGTGATATTTATTGGGAACTAAAACGTTACATTTTTATGAATGAAAAGTACATTTTAAAGAACGAAAAACATTGTATTTTGCCCTCCCTGTTCACATTCATTTAATCATTGAGATGTTGAAAATTCATTAATCTCAATACGCTTAGTTTCCATTTCAAGGCTGTATACAAAATGTTTTATGAAAATCTACTTATTATCAATAATAATTTACGTTGTACAGAAGGTTATTTGGTACAATGACGCACTAATTTTTGGTACAAATTTGAAGTTATAATAAAAACCAATTTAAAAAGAGGATGAAATATTTGCTCAGGTGTAGCAACTTGGACGGTTTTAAGATGGATCGGACAAAAGGCCATTCATTCGTGGTTGAAATGTCTGATTGGAGACTTCTGTTACGTACCTAGAGGCTATCAAATAAATAAAACAGCAAAACAAACCCGCTCATTCATGTATTTAGAATAAGAAGACATGAATGCCTGCCTGTCAAAGCAAATATAACTAACATCATAACTCTTGTCTGCTTGGAAACGTAAACAAATAAAAATTTATAATTTTATTAACACCTGAAGTGGAAGTAGTCCTTATTTCATCCACAAAGCGAGTCGTATCGATTTTTCTGATAGTGCTTTAAAAAATGTGTTAGGAAAAGCCCAGGATAAGAAAAATTTCCCGTAAACTGAAGCACCCTCGAAGAACTAAAGTTCCGGATGAAAATCCTTCCTGGATTTTTTCCGAACTTGATCTTCAATACTCTCCATCCCAGCCCCCCTTCACCACAAAAAAGAGTCTACTTGATTGATGCAAGCCTCCACAGAATCTTATGCCCGTGACGCAACCAGAGAAATCAAAGCTTTTGCCACGAAAGGAAGGTCCCCTTGGGCACTATTTTTTTTACAATAGCCATATGTTTCGTGTTTTTACAATAGGAGACACCACACATGTAAGCAATGTGAGAAAAAATGGCGCGTCTCAAATAGTTTCATTGTAGAATAGCATAAAGGGCTGTTTAAGTGTTAGTGAAAACAGTCGGAACAAAGTCTGAAAAGTTGTTCACGCTCACATTCATTTTTCTGGTGATTTGACTATTGATGTCTGTGCACGTTTTCTGTATTGATACATCATTAAGATATCTGTTCATTTTTTTGAAAACTGTAACGCAAATTACTCTCTCCAATAACGGAAATGCAACTGGCGCGGAAACACATGATTGACTTTTAGTTTCAAAAGTGGATTTTAAATTGCAGATTTTGCGGCGCAAGAAGAAAATTACATCTTCATCCCATTCGCTCTTCATCCATTTGCTCATCATCACCTTTGCTCTTCATCCCATTTGCTCATCATCACCTTTGCTCTTCATCCCATTTGCTCATCATCACCTTTGCTTTTCATCCCCTTTGCTGAATGGTTGTATCAAAAAGGCATGAATCATAAAACGTTTTGAAATTTTAAAGTTGTTGCTTAAGCAAACCCCTTGTGTTGTAATACGGCTTCATTTTCTTCCAAGCTAACTAAACTCAAAGTTTGTGCTCAACTTCTGTGCTCGGTTTGTCTATTAGAGAGGCGTGATTTTCAATGTTTGATAATAAGTAAACGCCATTAGGCAGCAATGGCTGTTGGCTCAGTCATGAAGACTAATGCATCCGGTGGTTCTTGGTTGGCATACCGTTATCGTATAATTCGTTTTTATCTCTCAGATTGTTTTTGGCCAGTTTCTGGCTTTTTTTTGCACGTTTTAAGCTCTTTTTTGAAAGTTTTTGCTTGTTTTGGCGATATGAGTCAAGATTTTTAGAATTTTCATCGATTTTTTGTGTCGCGAGTGATTCGAAACTGTTTATCGCCACTGTGAAAAGTTAGCTTTCTACAAAAAAAATAGCCAAGTGACAGTTTATATTGTAAAAATGATCTAATTTTTAATTAAACTTCCGAAAGCAAGTGTCTTGTAATCGGGAACTAGACTATTTTCCCGTAAATAGCTTTTTTTATACATCTGGAGTTGAAATTGAAGTTACTTTATAAGTCGATCGTAGGAATTTGGAGACTGCTTCCCACTTGGCGTCGAAGGATTGTGGTTACCTTTGTGCCCTAAGGTCTGGAGTTTGAGTCCTGGTCGGACGTTGTTTTTTTTTTTCATTATGTATAAAATTATTTTAAAAAATTCCGGGAAAAATTGAATGGTCCGACTTTTGTTTGTCTGGTTATGTTTTGTCGGCATAGTTGCTGCATTGTGCTTTTTTTTGCGTATAGTAATTTACGTCATTGATGCAAACGTTTTTGATGTACTCCTGTAATTTATAAAATTAATAGCCCTGGCCTGGTTTGTTTTCCTCTTTTGTTTGTTTCGCTTAAAAGCTTCATGCGGCCTAAATATTTTCGGCTTATGTTTATCGATTGAGTTGCTCTGATGTGCGTCGCTTCAAGGGAAAAATTAATGATTACAAAAAATCAGGTAGTTCGTCTCGCTAAAGCTTTGATAAATTGATAAAAATAAAATTTGCCTTCATTTTAATGGCATTGCATTTTTTTGGTTTCGTCTCAATGGCTTTTTTTACTTAATGAGCACATAGTCGGCTTAGTGGCCACTCGTTAAAAAAATCAATGACTTATTGAATGCTGTTTGTTGTTTTTCTTACTATTTTTTCGATTTCTGTCTCTTTTTCTATTCGCTAGCTTGCAGTGATGTGCTTGCGTTGTATCGCAAGTGATATAAAGCTCTGCTTAGCCTCTGTCTATTTTGACAAAAGAAAGTCGAAATGTTATTGCATATTATTGCATCAATCATCTACGGAACTAAGAATACATGTTAACTAGTCTTTAATTTGGTTCATTTTTGTTGAGAAAATAAAATATGATGATTACCTTCTTCAAAGCATAAAAGTATTTTTTAATCTACGAAGTTTTACCAGTCACTTTTTTCTGAACCAACTCGCTCAAAGATTGCTCAATTTTCCCTCTCCGTTTAATTATTATGTATGCATATAATCCAGCGCTAAATTTTGCAATTCTGAGTATATAAATACAAGGAATTGTAATTTTTAATACTATCTGAAAAGATATCGATGCTCTGAGCTTGAAATTAAAATGCATTTCACCTGTAATCTTTTTTCTTTTTTTTAAACAGTTGAATGGGTTAGGAAAGTTATTAATTTGATCAACTTGGAATGATAAATGCGCGTTTTCTATCAGTTTTTAAGTGCAAAGCGTAATCATTCCAAAAGCAGTAATCATTCTAAATTGATCTATCTGGTCTTTTTATTGCGTTACTAGGAGAGAAACTGCGTTAGTAGTTGGGAAACAGATCACTTTGTGCTGTACATGGCAGCTGTGGGAAGGGGAGGATGAGGAGGAGGAGGAGGAGGAGAGGTTCAAATTTGTGTTAGATAGCGTGTGGGGGGATGGTAGAATTTCTCTGTAGTTTTTCTTGTATCTGCGAAGTGCAATTTTGCCTCTGTTGAAAGTCTGATTGACTTTTATTATGTGACGTGAGATGAGCAGCAGTTTTTACAACTGTGTATTGACTAGGTCAGGTCTTTTGTCATTGCTTAGTAAAGGTTGTATGTGTCAGGTCAAATGTTTTTGTATAACATGTAGCATCTGATTTGAAACTTCACTTGAAAATTTTCGGAACTTGTTTTAGTGCGCAAGAGACATACACAGACATGTTCATCTACATTCACAGTCTCAGCCGTGGCAGCTTCTTCTTCGCCACAGCCAGCTACAGTCACCAACACCACAGCCACTATCGATGCTGACCCGATGGCCATGACCAAGATGTCTCCTCTACTTAGAGAAGAGCCGGAAGTTAAATCACAACCGGAAACAACGCAAGATGTGAAGCAAGTTGACCAGGAAGTGAACTCGATGAGATTGCGAACCGATGAGACTTTAGAGACTGACTCACCAGGCGGCAAGTCCAAGGTACAAATTTTGGACTAACAAATTTTGTTTGACCTTTTGACCTAGTTTAGGTCAGAACGCGCTTATTTTGATCTTCTTAGAGTCTTTTGTTAATTTTTGTTGCGACGGCATTAATGATTTAACACTCACATTGCCGGGAATATCTAAAGGGCGTTGTTCACTGAAAGTTTTGTTAACTGATTAGGGCTTTTGAATAGGCTTTACAGCTCTAAAGATCTTGGATCTTGCTCTCAATTGTTGATTCTATTGAACCCATATCTTCAAGTTTCCAAAAGATGAAAGTGCTTCTAAGGTAAACAGTAAGTCTAAGGGCAATCAAAGCTCTTGTTCGAGATTGCAATAGCATTTTTCAGATTACTTTATCTAAAAACATCTTCAGTGTACTTTGAGTTCGCGCGCATGGATTGAAAGATGTCTGAATGAAATTAACCTGTAGGTTAATCCAAATTCCTACGTAAACGTTAAAATGCAATTGAGCTTGTCCTCAATGTACATTTCTTTGTCCAGGTGAAAGTATTTCTGGGTCATGTTTGATTCTTAAGTCGATATGGACTCCTGATTCATTAAATATTCGACAGAAGACTGCAGTAGTTTGTGAAAAGGGAAGCATTTAAAGCTGGTTTAATTCTTCTAAATTTGGAGCGTGGAAATCATATGGATCTGATCGAACGTGGAGGCTGAATTGTTCGATTCGGTCATGAAATATTAATCTCTACGCTGTTTTGAACAATTGAATTTGATAATATCTTTTCCTCTTTTCTTCCTATTGCGAAGAATATTACATGAAATTTCGGACACTCTCAAGATAAAGTCGACTTAATCCCTGCTTGTCATTGAGGTAATAAACAAAAAAGCTTGTATGATTCGATAGCTTATTGTGGAATATATTGAATGAAAGGCTTCTTTTTTGAATGACATTTGAGCCCATACTTTGACGGCTCTCTACCGGTAGCTCAGTCAATTGAAACAGGCATATTTGAATTGAAAAGGGCTCTACGTAGTCTTTCACGGGGGAATCTCTGACCTAAGTGGTGTCTTTTCCCTTTTTGCGAATTGATAAGAAATTGAATTTTTGGGTGGAAAAGTGTTTGAGAGGATACTTTAATTTAAGTAAGTGGAGTTTTTTTTAGTGTTAATGAACGAAGTTTTCCAACTCAATATATCTCACAATTTTTTTGAAATGCAATGTTTATACATAATTTGGCTTTATGCGTTCCATTTTGATTTCAGGCAAAGGTAGTGTGGATGCTTTTAGTTGATTATATTCCAAACTGTTACCTGCAATTTTTGTGTCTGCTTACAAATGCGAGTTTGTGAGCGTTAGTGTATTAGTACGAACATTCTTTTTTTTATTGAAAGGATTCACTTATTTGGTGACACTTTTGCTTTAATCACGATCTGTAGCATTGGAAATTTCGTAGCATCTGTTCCATGCTTTATTTGAGGCTAGTATTTGCGATTTATAAAGCGTTCGTTGTAAGTGCGTGAGACTCATAATCAATAGGTCGCAGTTTTTAAAAATTGTCGGTTTATTATTTTTCTGCTTAGTTGCCACATCCTATAATTGCTTTTTTATGTACGCTTTTTACATTGTAGTTGCTTTGATGTTTTGATTCACTTCTGTTTGTAATTTCTTGAGTTCTTATGTTTTTTTGCTTAAAACCTTTATTCTGCCCAATTGATTTCGGCTTATATTTTATCGGCTTAGCGACGTAATTTTGAAGCAAATTAACCTTCATGGCAACATTTTTGTTTGGCTATTTATCTCGGCTTGATTGTTTCCTGGCCCAAATTATATCGGCTTAATGGCCTCATGTTGCGTCTTTCGACGACGAAAAACTTAAGTCTTTAGTCTTGCTGTTGTTTTTTTGGCCTAATTTTTCTGGTCAGTTTTTTTTGGCTTTGTTAATGCTTGGTAAATTTTCTTCCGTTTCGAATTTCATACTATATTGTCCTAGCATGTTTTTCTTTCAAAAGTAGCCCGATTCTTTTTGATAGATTAAGTTTTTTCGACGTTTTCGATTTTGTTTTTGATTTCTTTTTTAGGTTTAGCGGCTTTCTGGTTCTGTATCGCAACTTTTGTCCTTTTTTCGCTGGTGTTTCCGAAGCGCAGCCTCACCTGTGTGTCTATAACTGTGTTTAAGAGTAATGAACGTAGTGAAGACTCTTATATAGGTCTTGCTGACTTTTTTGTTGTTTTTTTTTTCAGGAAAAAGTCTTAAAATGTGCATAAAAATCTGTAATAACTACAGATGGTGCATTCATAGATATTGATGATTTTTTTGAAGTACTTAGATATATATGCACTTTTTGAGCTCAATTGAAAGTATACACTTATATGTACACTTTTTGAGCCCATATCTGCTGAAAGTGACGTAAATATCACTCTCCAAATACGAACGTGCAAATGGCGCTAGAAAACGTGCACGATTTCTAGTTTCGAAAGTGGAATTTATTTTTAAGATTTCCAGCGGAATAAAAACTATACCTTTTGATCCAGTTTTCTCAAGTTTTTCTAATGTTATCAAAAAAGCCCAATCATAAATCGTTCTAGAAATTTAAAGAGCTTAGTCGCAGTTTGAATTTTAATCTTTTTTTAAGTTCATTCCAAGCGCATGCTAACAGGAATGCAAGCTACGCTTTTCAATTAGGAAAACCCAAATGTCAAAGAAAAATTGTGAATGGCTTCTAGTTTTGAAAGTGGATTTTGATTTTTAGACTTTTCAGCGGAATAAAAGTAGTTATTGACAATTTTCTTTGATTAGGTTTTATTTACCAAAAAAGTGTCAATCATTAAATAATCTGGAGTTTCAAAGAGCTTCAGTTTGATACTATATTTGAAATTCGAAATTTAGAAAATGTTTTTGAAAGTTTCGGTTTCCTTGAGCTCATTGAAATTTTTCCAACAGACTATTGGCTTATATAAAGTCCTTAGATGTCAATGAATTAAGTGAAATTTGTCTAATTTAGGTCTAAGCTTACTCTTAACTCCTCTCTCTACGAGCACAAATTTGAAAATATATATCGAAAAAGTATCATTTATGACTGTTGTCGTATAGAACTTTTGTACTACTTACACAGCAATCGGTAAATCTCGTTTGTTTTAATAAGTTTCGAAAGCTGGAGCACGAACAAAATACGTTAGGGTTTTCAGTTTCTTTGAGTTCATTGACCCTTAAGCTAACTGTTCTGCTAGCTATGTTTTTAAACCAAATGATGAACTATTAGCTGAGCTCGCTTATTTCTATATCTTTAATGACCTGACTGCATTTGCTAATGACTTATCTCATTGATCGAAAAAAGAGTAGAATACGTAAATGGCGAATGTTTTTCGATTTAATCTGGTCGCCTGTCAGAAATGTTTTTTTTGAAAGCACTGAAAATTAAGTTTTTTCCCCGATGGATTAAATGGCTTTAAAAATATTTGCGGTCGATTTTATCATTGAGAGAATTGGTTTCAATTATGTATTGAGCAGACAGTGCATTCTTTATTTGACCTTACGTAAAAAATATATATAAATTTTTTTAATTTTCATTTTCTTTCTTGCTTTTAAATTGCGACAGAATAATGTCAATATATGATGGTGAGAAGCTTCAAAGGCGCGTGCTGCTGAGTTTGAGGTGGGGCATAATATTTGATCGGGGAAAGCGGGAGGGGGGGGGGGTTGGTATCTGTAGGGCGATTGATGATTGAGTTGGCTGATGTACTTCTTGTATGGACAGAATAATATGCTGATTTGTGATCACAAACAAGAGTTTGTGTATTGCTTCTATCTTTTTTCGCCGTGAGAAATGTTTTAAAAATAGGTAGCATTTAATGCGTACATTTAAGCGACGTAATTTTGAAGCAAGTTAACCTTCATGGCAACATTTTTGTTTGGCTATTTGTCTCGGCTTGATTGTTTCCTGGCCCAAATTATATCGGCTTAATGGCCTCATGTTGCGTCTTTCGACGACGAAAAACTTAAGTCTTTAGTCTTGCTGTTGTTTTTTTGGCCTAATTTTTCTGGTCAGTTTTTTTGGCTTTGTTAATGCTTGGTAAATTTTCTTCCGTTTCGAATTTCATACTATATTGTCCTAGCATGTTTTTCTTTCAAAAGTAGCCCGATTCTTTTTGATAGATTTAGTTTTTTCGACGTTTTCGATTTTGTTTTTGATTTCTTTTTTAGGTTTAGCGGCTTTCTGGTTCTGTATCGCAACTTTTGTCCTTTTTTCGCTGGTGTTTCCGAAGCGCAGCCTCACCTGTGTGTCTATAACTGTGTTTAAGAGTAATGAACGTAGTGAAGACTCTTATATAGGTCTTGCTGACTTTTTTGTTGTTTTTTTTCAGGAAAAAGTCTTAAAATGTGCATAAAAATCTGTAATAACTACAGATGGTGCATTCATAGATATTGATGAATTTTTTGAAAGTACTTAGATATATATGCACTTTTTGAGCTCAATTGAAAGTATACACTTATATGTACACTTTTTGAGCTCATATCTGCTGAAAGTGACGTAAATAACACTCTCCAAATACGAACGTGCAAATGGCGCTAGAAAACGTGCACGATTTCTAGTTTCGCAAGTGGAATTTATTTTTAAGATTTCCAGCGGAATAAAAACTATACCTTTTGATCCAGTTTTCTTAAGTTTGTCTAATGTTATCAAAAAAGCCCAATCATAAATCGTTCTAGAAATTTAAAGAGCTTAGTCGCAGTTTGAATTTTGTTCTTTTTTTAAGTTCATTTCAAGCGCATGCTAACAGGAATGCAAGCTACGCTTTTCAATTAGGAAAACCCAAATGTCGAAGAAAAATTGTGAATGGCTTCTAGTTTTGAAAGTGGATTTTGATTTTTAGACTTTTCAGCGGAATAAAATTAGTTATTGACAATTTTCTTTGATTAGGTTTTATTTACCAAAAAAGTGTCAATCATTAAATAATCTGGAGTTTCAAAGAGCTTCAGTTTGATACTATATTTGAAATTCGAAATTTAGAAAATGTTTTTGAAAGTTTCGGT